CCCCCCCCCCCCCCCCCCCCCCACACACACACACCGGGAGCGAGGTGAGAGGAGCTGCCTCCCTTCCCCCCCTCCGCCCCCCCCCTTTTGTCCTTGTGGTGCTTCTGGGGATCCCTCTGCTAAGGGCTTCCCCTGTGCTGTACGTGTGTGTGGGGCTGTGCCTCCATCCCACGCTATGTAGTTGTCTGTGTGTGTGTGTGTTGGGGAGGTCTGTGCTCTGCCCCTGTCTCTGTTAGGGGATGTGTGGGGATCTGCACACCTCCAAAAAGAAAAAGCATTGGGTGTGTGGGGCTGCTCCCTCCTTCCACAGAAGTGTGGGGCAGAGGGTGGGGTTCTTTTCTTTAATTGCAGCCAACTCTGTTTCCCTTCTGCCCGGAGGGGGGTGCGTGTGTTTGGTTAACCCCATGCCGTGGTGAGCAGTGGCAGAGTGGGACAGGGGCTGTAGAGCTACCTGCGGAGGCTCCTTTACATCACCTCCCCACGTGGGATGCGGTGGGTGTGAAGGTGCCCACACAACGAGCTCCACAACCAGACTGAGATCTCCCCCTCTGGAGCAGCCTCATTCATTTTGGGGGATGGTTCCTCCCTGTATGGCACTCGCAGCGATGTGTTACTTCAGTCTGCTTAAGGGTTGAGGGATTTTTGAGCTGTTTAGGGGGATTTTTCTCAGTCCTACCATTGAGCCTTTTATCCTGACACTTTGCTGCTGTTGTGAATTTTCATTCATTGTCCTCTCAGCTTGAGGCCCCAGCCCTCGCTTTCCATTTAATGACTTTATTTTTTCACTCTCTTCAACTTCAAACTGTATGGTCACCCGAGGCCTCCCTGGTGCTGGACTGGTGCCCTGGCTGTCTCATCCATTTTGTTGGGGCTCTTGTTTGAGGCATGCATGGCTTTAGGGTGAATATATGGTGCGTGTGAGGTGGTGCTGCAGGTGACTGTAAGGTCAGTGCGTCTCATGTCACTCTCCCAAGGCAGGAAATAAAGCAGGAGCTGGCAGAACAGGCTCCTGTCCAAAAGCTTTTTGGAAGGAGGTTAATTTTTAGTGTAATCTTTGTGGAGTGGTTTTATTTGAAGTTTATAGATGATGTAGCACTGTTGTGCCCAGGTCTTCCATCCCTGCCTGACAGGGAGACTTACTTACTGTTAACAAGGGTGGGAAAGTTTGGGAAAACGCTGTTTTGAGAGATTAAATTCTTGGCATTGTTTAAAAGTAGGAAGGAACTAAAGCTATGAAGGGGGGGGGGGAGGGGGAGGGGGAGGGAAATCCTTCTGGAAATCCCTGTTGCTCTGTGGGATCAGGCTTTGTCCTCTCCCTTCGTGCAATGAGAACAGCAGCACTTTAGAAAGGAGACAAGCTCCCTATAAAGGAAGGCATAATCTGGCAGCTCAGCCCCTTAAACCTCCTTTGGAAAATGCACCCTGGGGAGGATGATGCTCATCCGCTTGGAGGAGTGAGAGATGAAGGGAGAGAGAGGAGAATGCCCTGTGGGGAAGGGAGTGGGATGGGTGCCTGCAAAGGGTTGCACTGATAGCACAGAGTTGAAGAGTCAGGTTGGAGTGCCCAGTGCTGGGAGCAGGAGGACAGTGCTTCTTTGTAGCTATAGGGGGCTGTGAATATACGGCTCTTAGGAGAACCTGCTGCTGGAGGCTCACATCCTACTGCCTGAGAATATCAAGAGGAGGATGTAGCTGTGTGGTAGCCTTGCAGTCGCTGACTGAACATGGGGAGGAATTGGGAAGGAAGCATTTCACTTCTGTGTCTTTCCCTGCCCTTCTGTGAGCTGACTTTCTGGATGTTATCTGCTCATTAAAGGATTGTGTTGGCATTCTGGAGTGGGATGGAGTGTACACTGAAATGTGTATATTGCAAACATATGGTTTCTCTTTTTAACTTTACCATCCCCACCCCCTTACTCACATCAAACATTGGTGTGTCTGCCAGCGGCCGGGATGGAGATGTGACGCAAGTTTCCTAGCACGTGTGTGATTTGTGGGACAAAATGTCACTGTGTTAACTGAGCTGGACTGCTTTGCTGTCCGCTTTGGGTCCCCCATGGGCCTCTGGGGGAGGGGGTTGAGCTCTCTTTACTTCTGTGGAGCTGTGAAAGTCTTTTAGTAGGGGACAAAGCGAGAACCTGATATGGAAAGGGGTGAAAATTGTGCTGGTGCTTTGAAAAGACTTAACTTGTTTCTTCATGGAAAAATGCTGCTCTTTAAATTTAGAGCCCGCCATTCTGTAGGTTACCAGCTCAGCTGTTTTTCCACGTTAGAAGGAGAGAAATCCATGTGTAGTCTCATTCCTGTGCTGGTTTTGCCTGAAAACAGTAACGTGTGGCTTTCATTTACCATGCAGGGCTCTGTACTGCTTCAGTGCAGGAATTGAGAGAGCACGTTTTCCAGCAGCAAAGAGAACTTCTGTAAAACTGCCCTCCTGATTCTGGCTAATAAAAAAATAAAAGGATTAGTCAGCAGTGGAGGTGACTCATGCCAATATAAAGGTATGGATTAATGTCTGCATTTATTACACTTGGTTAGTGTTAGTAACTGCTGAGTAGCTTCCCTTAGGCTTAAATAACTTACGTTCCGTTGGATGAAGGAACCTTACTCAGAATCAGAGCCCAGCTTTCCTTTCCAAAAAGGATAAAATGGAGATGAGGGGAGAGAAGACAAATTGCAAAGCATTTCTGTGCAGTGTGCCCACAGAGGAACAATAACGTTTGCAAGAGAATACAGCCTCAAAAGATGCCTGGATTTTTATCTCCGAAAAGCAAATGCAGCCTGCTTGGTGGCTGTGAAGGTGGTCTTCCAGATGCCAACTGCATACAAATCACAGCAACCCTCTGTGTGAAGCCTGAAAAAAATGTGAGCTCCTGCTGCTCAGATACTGCACACACAGGTTCCCTCACATCTCACTGTTCCTGTTGGAAAAAGCTGGTAGCTGTAATGAAGTTGATTGGAATTGGGTCATTCGCTTTTTGCTACTTTTTAGGGCTGAGAAGAGCTGTGCTGACTGTGGCCATTTGATTTAGGAGCATCTCCTTTACTGCGAGCAGCCCGTGCCAGAAACAGAAGATAAATGAGCAGTGGGAATTCTCCCTTGCTCTGTTCCTGTGCCCTTTTCCCCCCGACAGATTCCTTCGCAGCTATGAGGACGGCACAGGCCGGGTGAACAGATGTGGTGGGAGTTTCTTCTCCCCTCAGAAATCAAGCTTAAATTGAAAATTGAAATGGAGATTTACTCAATGATTAGGTTTTTTAATGACTGGGGTTTGTGTAGCTTTAGCGTTGGGTTTTGTCTGTGAGCAGCACGGTGATCTTTTGGAATCTGATGTTTGCACTTCCAGCCAGGATTTCCCCAACCACACGTGTGAGCAAATTTATGTCTGCTGTATACAGCCTTCTTTTACAGCTGTGTAGAAACTTTCTGAGAACTAACATTTCTGCTTCCCCAAATTTTATCGGAGTGTCTCTGGTCACCTGTTTTATGCCTGCCTGGTTCCCCTATCCTGAATGTTACAGCTGCTGAAAGAAGAGCTCACCAGGTGTGGCTGATGCCTTGGTGTGGGATGCCCAGAGTGCAAAGGGAGCTGCTTGTCCAGTGATAACTTTGTACCTTTCTATTTTAAGGCAGCATTGATGTCTACTCGTGAGCCTTCTTTACTTCTTGCAGCCAGTTTTGCGTGCCCGTTTTACACCCATTCAAGAAAAATCATTACACTCTATAAAATATAACTGCTTGAGAACTAAATGGAGCGTTTAGACTTCAGCCTTTGTGCCATATGTCTTGTTTTTAGCATTTCCTCATTGCTTCCCGTTCCTCCCTCTGAGCACAACCAGCCAAATTGATACCTCCAGCATATCTCCAGTATTCAGGCTGCTTGCTTTGTGTGCTCTTCATCAACTTTTTCCATGTCAAGTTGGTCAGAAGGCCTTGTTGTTTGGACACTGGCATGAATGGTACCACAGTTTCTCTTATGGTTGTTCCTCAGTGACTCCACGACCAGGCTGCTCTACATCCACACTGCCTTTCCTTTGGATGCTCAGCGTGTCTCTTTTCTTTAAGACCTTTGCCATCGCTTCCAGAACAGGACTAAATTGAGTCATTCTCTTGGGAAGTGAAAACAAACGGCGTTTAGTTGTGCGTGTGTCTTTTGTTTGGTGTTTGTGTTGTTTGCTCTCTGGTAGGAAGAGGAATAAAATGCATGGGGAAGCAGATTGAGGGCACAAAAGACAAGCACAAGCTGTGGTGGAAGAGGCTGGCTGGGAAGAGCGCAGCGTTATTACTGAGGCAGCCAGTCCTGCTGATCTGATGGGAGAGGGCGAAGGCAGATCCTGCTGCTTTCAGCTACTCTGAGATGCTAAGAAAAAAAACATAGAAGGAAGTAGTTCACACTTTACCGTGGCTGCTTTCTCTGTTGCTGTTGTTTCCAGTGCTGCAACAATACTGGATCAAATAATGCTTAACACTTAGATTTCTTAAAAAAGCCATTAAAATGGCTTCAGTTTAACTCTCATATCTTGGCTAGTGCTGGGAAACTTGCGTGTGCTGGGCTCCTGAGCACACCTAAGAGCTGCATATGCTGGCTGACAAATGCTTGCCCTAGAGGCTCATTCCTTCTGCAACTGCTGAAACCTTGGCGAGAATCGACTCTCCCCAAGCATTGGTCTGTCTAAGCTTGGCAGTATCTATTTTATTATTGAGCATTAACAGC